CACCGCTATTGAAAGCTGTATAATTATGTGCTATAGCCACTGTAGAAAATGCTTTGTTCACCACAACAAAGAACAATAAGCAAAGTAAAGTGACATTACACTGTATCTTTTTCTTTAAGAATGTTGAGAAAGGTCACGGTGCGTTACAACTAATAAAGCTGTTGAGTAAGGAAGTTTAAAGTTGATCTTGCTGTGCATAAATGTAACCCAATGACAAAAAGGCAGAGGGAACTAAAATTGTAATGACATTAAAAAATAGATCATATATCAACGTGCCAACTTCATTATACAAACACCTTGAATCCAAAGGACACAAACAGAAAAACCGAGTGCAGTTCTGCAACAGTATTCCTCTCGCGATTCTCTCCCTAATAGCTTCCAACTACAATCTGCAGTTTAACCAACTGCAAAAACTGATTAATAAGCATTAATTGATACGTGCAACGCACAAACCTTCTACTGCAAGCTGTGGATTTTGTTACTTGATTTACAAACCGGGTTCATTTCCCGTGCCGTTTCAAGGAAAGCTCTGCTGTTTCACAAGAGACTCTCTTCAAAATTAAAACAAAAAAACCCCAACAAAATACAAAAAGCAAAAGGAAAAAGGCCTGAGGACATCAATTAAGTTTCCTGAAACCAGGATTTTTAAGTGAAAAAGAAGTTAAATCTGGACACTTATGTTTCATTTTTTCTTCAGAGGAATCGGGACGGTTACGTTTGCTATTCTCAGATTGCCAAAGCAGCTTTATTCTCCTTGCTGCAGATACCAGAGAGAGGCCTTCGGACTCTGGCTTTAAGAATGCTGAGAACGATGTTGAAACGCTGCAACAATAAAGCCCTTGAAGGAGGAAGTATACAGCTGAGGGAAAAAACGCGAGGAGTTCGATACTGAAACAAACAACTGTCCCGTCAGGCTGTGCCCACTGCTGGTACCACCAGAAGCGCAGAGGCTGCCACGGCAGAGCAGTTGGTACGGAAAGAGAAATCTCCGAGATGGAAGTCAGCAAGTTACGGACTTGATTTGCACTTCTCCTGAGGCCACTTTGCACTGCGCTGGTTGTGTAAAGGCGTATTAGGGTGGTTATAAATCGTACTTTACAGTGCCTGTGTATTGCAAAACCATGCGCAAGTGGCCTTAGTTTAAATAAGAATCAGGTTCAAAGGCTTTAATTCTCCTTTTGATGAAAACCAATTCAGTTCAAGATGAATCCTGCAGATGAAACTGGGGAAGAATACAGGTTCCCAAAATAAGCATGAGTGGCCAGAATTTTCAGTAATTTAGGATGTCTTAATTTTTGGATGCGGTGCTGGGCACACTTCATTTTCAGGGAATGGACCATTGAGGGCCTCCTGACAAAGTGGCTCTCATTAACACATCTCCAGTTGAGCATCCCAAAATGGAACTGGCCTAAAACTGTCATCACTTCTAAAAATTTTGGCAGCCAGCGTTCCTCTCAAGGGTTCATAGGCCACTTATGTGACTGGGTTATTACTTAGATTTTATAGGTGGTGTTATCTGAATTGTTTTACATAATCTCATTGATTTTTATGGAACTAACTCAAAGTGCCTTAAGTTAAACATTCTGCTAAGACTTGAGTACAACTGGTCTTAATTAGGATTTTCCCACTAGCATGGTTTTCCCCTGCCAAAAGCAGAGCAAACTTCTTAAAAATGGTTTTCTCCCCCTTCGAAACGACGACACGTGCCGTAACTAGCGCTATGAAAAGAGGCAATCATCACGTCAAGCCCCACTGTACCAAGACTGCACACAGGGTACTTGTACAAATAACGCAGCTTGGCAGATGTTTCACTATTGTGATCAATCTCAATAACTACGTCTGCAAAACCGGGTGAGTTCCCGCGAAGCAGCAGGCAGGCTGAGCTCAGAAAGATGGCGTGTGCGGGGGCTTGCTTTGGTGCTCATTCGCTCGCTACGCGGAGGACCGTGGCGAGCGTAAGGAGCAGGCAGGGGGGCGCAGAGTGAAATCACTGGCACAGAGAGACCTGAGACTTCAGAGCTAAGACTGAGTCGTTAAACGTCCACAAGCAAAAGGAACGGGCATCGTGCGGAGAGACGTTAATACGCGGAGAATGACGGTAACTGCAAAAAAATGCCAAGGAAAAAGGATGATGGAGGAGGAGTGGGAGCCAAAGACAAGGTAAAATCCAGGTATTGTCCTCAGGCCAATTTCTTTTGCTTGTTGCAAGTACGTAAATCGGGAAAAAAAAATCTTATTTATAGTTTTTAACCATATTTTTACTTTAACTCACAGCATGGTGTCCCCCTTGTTTGAAATCATCCTGCCACAGTCAGAACTGTGACCTCTGATGATCTGTGCTAGGATGGATTTTGAAAGAGAGTTACGAAATTATTTGGGATTTTTTTTCTCTTTTAATGCATAGCAACAATACCTGACTTTAATTACTGCAGCTGGCATTCAAATGCCTATGGCAACACCACAGATGAGACCGATATCAAGTGGCACAGCAAGCTGTCCTCTTTTTCTGACCAACTTCGGCATTTGTGCTGGGACACTGATATTTGTGGCTCTAATTCACCAGGACAACTCCTTCTCCCTCCCTGGAAGAACTGCCCCGGAGCAGAGAAGCACCTTCACCCTTCACAAAAGACTTGTGGGGTTTTTTCCCCCCCTTTCAAAACTCAGTTTCAGATTGCTCTGTGTAGGTCAGCAGAGGTTTCTCCAGCTAACCCTACAGCAAGAGAGAGAAATGTGGAACCGGCTACACACATGTGCACACAAAACACAGGCAAAGCTGCATCACACTGGAGGAGGTGTTGTATGTGTCTCTGGCTCACAGCCACAAGGGTACAATGGCAAAGCTAAAAACGACCGGACATGTGGTTTGTTAAACATCTTACTCGAGTTTGCTACAAGCTGTCAGTTCCAATGTGCAGGGAAAGCAACATAGTATCACAGATTCCTGAGCAAATCAATAGCACAGCCTGATATGGACCAAATGCACATTTAGCTTTATCATTTTTCCCTCATACTCAATTTAGGAGTATTAAAGTATACGCACAAATTTCGCCCAAGAAGAGATAAAGGGGGAGGGTTTAGGAACAGTAGTGTAGGTGATTTAAGAGAAACAGACTAATCAGAAGGTCAGCAAAGCATCACTGAAGTATGAGAGGAAGCAACTTTGATGACGCTAAATATGGCAAACGCTCCGTTTGCTAAATCCCCTTAGATCCAATTTCAGCATTACCGTACCTGTCATTTTTGCTTTGCAGCTTGCGGGGGAGGGGCCAGGCATTTATTGGGAAAAGTTACACTGGCTACCTTAGAAACTGCACCGTACACTTCGATCATCTCGTAACTGCTGGATCTTCAGTGCAAACCCGAGATTTAAACCTCTGGGAAATTCTCCTTATACTAGACAACACAAGAAAGACTGTGTGAAATACCTGCAAATCATCACCATTTATAACATCTCTTTGCCTCCGCGATGGGGCAGAAAACCAAGGGGCTGCTTTCCTACCAGCTACTGGGCACCTTGCTGAGATGAGGAGACTGCGATCACTAGCAGTGCTAAATGTACGAGATTCGTATTTTCTTATCTACCTGAGAACACAAATAATCACCCCATATTTCTTCACTGAAGTAATCTATTACATTAACATTGCAACTAACGTTTTCAAATGCAACAGTAATTGCCCGAAATCATCAAGGATCGGAGAACTTTTGAGAGTAAAGAACATTTTAACCTACGTTCCGCAAACAGAAAAAAGTCGCGTTAAAAAGAAAAAAAGCTTGAGGGAATTTACGCACATTTTGACAGAAAAAAGTTGGTCACACTTATCTCCTTATGCATTTCCTTTTCTTTTCCTGTATTTAGCTACAATGCCTTGGCACACAGGCAGACCTACCTCCCAGGGGTGGGAGTCTCCTGTCCCACGCGTGTGTGAGTGCCCTCGGCAGGGCCTGGGGGGGGCACGGCACACAAAACATGAAGTCTGGGTGTTGTCATCAGCTGCAATGGATGGCAAACCCCTCCAGGAACATCCTCTTCCCCCCTCTTTCTTCATCTGCCCTTTCCATGCAACCACTCTCCCAGAAAACTCTTCGTGCCCAGAAGAGGGGGAAGGAGCCAAGAAAGTCTTTGCTTAGCGACTTTTCGCGTCATCTGAACTTATGCGCTGTGAAAGCGAGCACCGCTAAAACCCCCTCCAGAAGGATTTTCGGCAGGAAACCACCCCCCTTTGGCAGACAAATGTCACTTTTGCTACAGGAGAGGGCTCATTATGCAACTTGACCCCGAGTGAAAGGTGCAGACACAAAAAATAATAATAATTAGTACCACCCTCACTTCCCCACTCTGCTTCACCAAGAGATGGGATTACTCAAGCCTCCCCCTCATGCACACCCTGTTCGAATGCATCATTACATCCGACTACCTGAACAATGCAAACTGCCATCCTCAGCAGGGAGAAACACTCTCCCGTGGTATCGCCGAGGGTCAGCATGTTAATGATAACAATAGTCTGCCGAGCTACCAGGCTGGCCTGTAAACAGGAATCTTAATCAAAGCCACAATCCCGTTACAGCAGAAAACAGAGAGCATTTACTTCGAGCAGTCATTTTATCCTGCAGCTTGACAAAGCAAATGCATTTCAGTTCTATAAATCAAACGAAGGAAAGCAGAGGAAGGTGACTGCAAGTGTTTGATCACACAATTACAGAGCTTTAGAAGAGCCGTGAGGTGACTTCTTTCTCTACCGTCCCTCCTAATGGAAACTTCAAAAAGACAAAACTAAGAAACTTCTCAAAAAAAGTGAAAACTTTTATCTCTTGTCAAGTCCTAGCGAGGTGTAAGTCTCCAGCTACCAGGGCTAAAAAGATTAATTACAGTCATTCAGGCAAGTGGAATGCCCAGATTCCACCAGTCAGGGCCACGACAATAAGGTACATTATTTTAACCTGGACCACAGAGCGACTCACACACACACACACACAGAGAAACAAAGATCGGTGCCTAC